TCCTTCTCACACCACAACTTATAGTCGGAATCCTTCCAATCTCGTAACTGTTGCTACCTTTCATCATGCAGCCTGTACGATTTTGACCTTGTAAGTGTGTCCAATCTCTAGGCTTCATATGTAGAGCTTGATAAGATGTCCCTTTGGGCATCCATGAGTATACTGAAGTTTTTCGCTCGGTACTTTGTTGAATTTAGGAATATTGCTATATCTTATCGCATAGGTGCGTTTAGCCATCCGTATGAATTTACCGCCATAACACTTATTTTAATTTATTGTTGCTGAGGTCTGCTACCAAATCCCAGCTTACTCTCGTTGCTTATTCCATATGTATAATTTAAGTCCTTTAATGCTTCCTCATTACTGCTCATCTTTAGAATGACGGCCTAATCTCATCTCATACTTTGTGACTTTTGTCCATCCATTGTTGATTCACCTCAATATTGATCTATGATATACAACTGATAACTTGAAACTTCTTACGTAATACTTTGCCCCTAGGGCTTACGTTACGTCAAGAAATATTTGAAGTGATTCCCATAATCGTATTTCATAGTGTCTCAATGTGATTCATCTTATGGGGTATCCTAATTTCGTGCTGCCAGCGAAATCTTTTCTCCTTCTCTTTTTTTTTCTTTTTTCAAATCATTATTCAAACGAAGGCCCAAACATCATCCTTTATCTGTCACAATTATATCCTCATTTTATTACCAGGCCAGCATTTCATTCCTTCTAAGTGCTATTAATCTTAGACTCCTTTGAAGTCATTAAGGCTATAGTGAGCTTTGTATAACATAGAGAATCCATTAGCTTCCTTGTTTTCATAGGCCTAATCCTGAGGACTAATCCATTCTCGTCACCTTCTCACTCGCCTTTTCTCGTTCTTACATCTTGTCATAAAACTTTGTCGCTTTACTATATTTTAGCTTGCGACCTACACATATCTATTTATACTACTCGTAATCTTCCTTCAACTTGCTTGAATTTCCTTGTGTTATTTTAGAACATCAAGCGAGACATCACATCGTCTCTAACTCTTCTTTACTTTCCTAACTAGACCTCTCGATACCCAGAAATCACCGACTAGAAGATATGCCATTGACGATGCCGCTATCATTCCTGGATATTGGATCCACGCGCTTCTAGCCTTCTATCCCAAGTATGGAATATCCTCAACCTTTTGATTTTTAGTATCTCGTACATTGTTCACCTTTACCTTACTTTCCTTAAAGTTTCACATCACATCTTCTATCTCTTTCATACCTCTGATTTTAAGGGAGATCCTGCAATGTTCTCGATCACGATGTTTCTATTTTTCTGGGTCCAATAATCAAACTCCTGATTTACTTGGGTGATGTAACTCTTTAGTTTCATCCTTCTTCTGATCGGCCTTTACGTTGGCTTAAGCTATCTTCCGATCTGTGGTTCATGGCATTATTTATTATGTTTAGCCTTTCATGGGCACTGAGGAATATGCGTGATAGAATCTTTTAACAATTTAATCCTTCATTTATGACCTGGGCTCAATTCTTTCTTTTAACGTATACGAGAATCTTCTACGGCTGTATATGCTGCATATATAAAACTCCAAACCCTTAAGTGAATTCTTAACGCAACCAACTCTGGATCATTGATCGAGTAATTCCTTTTTTATCCATCTTAGCTTTCTTTAAGTGTAAGCTATTACTTTTCCTGATCTTTCTGCCCCCTGTTGCGTTCTTACTTAGCTTATCTTAGTGCCCATATGTATTGAAATTCCATAAAACTCATATGATCCTGAATATCACTTTAGATTTTACTCCCTGTTCATTAGCCACTGTAGGTGCCACTTTCTTAGGGAGTGCATACAATGTTGTTTTGAGACTGTTGTCGCACGACCATTTCCTCTTTAGGTCGTTGTATTGAGGTTGAAGTCTTCTTCCTTATTTCCTCAGCTAGTCTTTCGTCGTAGTACTTAGAGAAGACCCTCTGACTCTTGTAAAGATGCGAGCTTATAATACTGTATTCCCGATAGAATTTTTTTATGTTCGTGCTCACTTGTAATTATCCTTAGTTACTTACCTCCATACTCATCTGCTCGTACGGCTGCTTCTGAACTGAAGTTTTGACTGTCTTCCCAGTGGAACTATCTTTTATTTCAGTAACACTCATACGGTACCTTTAACTACCCCCAACTCCTATTTGAATATTTCTCAAGTATTACAATGTCATAACTGTGGGGATAAATTCACTACATTGGGTTTTACTATCTTTATCTTGCACGGCCTTCCGTCTTGTTCTGTATCCTCTTGACTAGCCATAGCTAGGCTCTTTCAGAATCAACTACTAACTACTCGTTGGCCCATCCTCATGTTAATATTCCGCGAAATCTTTCTTGGGTTATTTCCTTGGTCTTAACTTACGTCTCGCACTGGCTCCTTAATTATCAATAACATCTCGGGTAAGAACCCTTACTTCTTCTCCTTGACGTCGCATTTGCATAATGTTCTGGAATCGTAGCATATTTGTAGCATTTGGATAAGTGCAATCTCATCCCTTCTCATTTTTATCGCATTCTTCCTTTTATCATTCCATACCTTTTAGGGGAATACTAAGAGTTGGAGCTATGACGACCTGCCTATAGATGTTTCACCTTTTCATCTTTGGCATCCTTTCACATCATCGATGACTCTTACTCGCCTTGAGGTAATCCTTCCGTACCAAGGCTAGTAAAATCCCTTACTCACGAGGGTGAAATTTAGTATAACTGGTACATACAGTCCCTTAAGCTGAACTTTGCTCACATTGCTTGCTGTAGGGAAGCGTCTTCCTGGATGATCATTCTCTGAATTTCTCATGAATATTCTTTTGTCGTCCATTTTATTATTAGTGGAGCAAAATCTGAAGTTCTTATGATGGAGACTATCACCAGTCACTCAGTCCTCAATTCATGTTTAGTTTATCTTGTTCACCAATCCATACTGGTTCTATTACTCTGGGGTCTAACTTTTCCTTTTGGTAATCACGCTAGAGTTGCGAATTTATTTCTTGAAATGAGGACATGATTGTATGGCCTATACTATTTTGTTGTCCTAAGGCCTGTCACTTCTCGTTTCTTCCTTCACTTGACTATAGATTTTGTAATGTTGCCATATTTGATATACCATTGTCATCCATGTATCACATCTTACTCATAATGCTTTATTAACTCTTTTCTTATTTTCCGCTAACATTTATGCCTATCACTTTAATCTGAAAACTATAACAAGACATTCTTTTGCTCTTAGCTTCCCTTTGCTTTATCCAATGGCTCTTCAAGTTGCTTAACGTTCTCGCTTTACTAGGGACGCGAGCCACACTAAGGTAATATTTATCCTTTCAAGGGCTATAGTGTATGTGTTTGTAGTACTCATATCTGGCTGCACTATTTCAGAGTGCACCATCTGGTGTCTCATAAAGAGATCTATTAGCATATTTGCAATATCCTTCGGAAATGTCAACTGAAGCAAACAATTCATCCATTATATCTTCTTATACTACTTCTGTTAATCCCCATAGGGCATATCTGGAATGGGTGCGACCAATTGTATATACCTCTGTTACTATTGAATATAACTCAAAAAGCTTATGTTCCTTTGCCTCAATTATAAACGTCGTTAGCCTTCATTAATTGGGTGCATCGTACCCTTCTTCATCTTGCTTCTTTTGCTTGTTGAAACCTGTATTTATCTTCTTAATCTCTCATTGTCTTTTACCATAAAGATGGATAGACATTCTTGCCTTAAGGCTTCTTATCAGGAAGCTTGCACCTTTCAGTACACCCATGATTTGCTAAAGACCTCACATTTACTTATCGTAGGCATTATACAAAAATCCAATTCCTCTGACTCAGCTCTTCCACAACTATCTCTCTTTCCAATCCTTCTTTCCGGATGTAGGTATCGTCTTATTACGAATAATAAAATAAAAAATCGGAATCTGAATTCTTATAAGTGAGCTCTACCACACGATCTAGAAGAAGAAAGAGTGAATATCCTAAATGCCCTGTAGCCTCCTGCTTATAAGTGTGGTACACGACACACCCATAAACAAGACTCTACTATACACGGCTTGTAGACATCCATAGGAAAGAACTGCTCTGATACCATTTTTGTCACGACCCAAACCGACGGGCCGCGACGGGCACCCGGTACCTTACTTAACCGAGTACCAACGTAACGTATCCTTTTTATTACATCATCATATACACGTGACATACGGGCCTAATAGGCCAACATGATCCTTTATAAACTCAAAACATAGGCCGACAAGGTCGTACAATCTTTTATGTACACCACATAAGTCTACAAGCCTTTAAGAATACACAAAAGTCATAAAGGTCGGGACAGAGGCCCCGCCATACCAAAAAATACTACAAGAAAAACGACCTTTAAGGAAGGGAAATCCGGTCCCTAAAAGTAAAAATCTGGTCCTAAAAGGGTAAATTGCGAAGGGAAAAGGTTGGTCGTAACCCGTCGTAATAGCCTCCGTCGCTAAATGTCAATAACGACGGGACATAATACCTGGTCATTAAATCACTTTAGCGACGGACAAAAAAATTGGTCGTAAATACTTTTAGAGACCACATTTCTTGTCCCTAGTAGGCGGTGAATAAAAATTATTCCCGTCGTGAAATCTCTTTAGCGACAAACTGTATCTAGTCCTAAATTTCCTTTTAGAGACGGACCGAAAACCTGGTCGCGAATAACATTTAGAGACTACATTTCTCGTCCATAATAGACGATAAGAAATATATATATTCCTTCGTTAAATCTTTTTAGTGACCAACGCCAACTGGTCCTAAATTATCTATTAGAGACCGACAAAACATCTGGTCGCTAAACCATTTTCGCGACCAACCTTTAACTGGTCCTAAATTATTTTTTAGAGATAACGTCCCTATTTAAAATAATTTTATAATTTAGCGAAATATTCATGGTCTATTAATAACCATGAGTAGTCCTAAAAGCTCAATGCAACAAAAAGTAATTTTTATCAATAAATATCAAATTGGTATTGAAAAATCCAGATATAAAAAGATAATATATCAAGTTCATATCCCATGATGATGTTACTTTCTATGTTTTCTCAACACCTCAACAAAAAAAATGTAGCTAACATCCTGAGGTAGACTATGATATCAAGTTTTGCATAACATTTTTAGCAAAATAATAATAGCTTGTGCATCTTCTAAACTTGCATCTTGACTTGTAGCTTCAATCTTCAAAACCTGTAAGTACAAAAGTTTTTAAAATAATAAATAACTATTGGTAAAATAACATATATAATTTTATATGAGCAATAGTTAAATCGCTTACCCCAAAAGCAGTCTAAATTCACAAGGTGTTATCCAGCAACATCAACAAGGCTACAACAATATTAAAAAAAAATTAATTAGAAAAGCTTTGGGATGGATTTAATTTGTCCATTAGTAATAACGCGCACCAAAAGAAATTTTAAATTTAAAAACTAACTTGAAATTAATAAATGAAAAAAACAAAAGAAAAAAAATAAAAGAAAAATGAACTTGAAGAAAATGAAGCATAAAGAAGGGCATGCAAGCGTGGAAGCAGTGTAAGAAAAAAGAGTAAGCAATGGGAGGAGAAAGCTTCTGATCGACACCAATTTGCTTTTCCCACAACAAGATTTTCTCCATTCTATATATGTTCAATAGTTAACTGAACAAATAACAACATGGTATGCTTCTGTTCCAGTGTAAAATGAAGCAAGAAGTGGGAATTTCAGCAAGAACCAGGTTCTAGTTCCTTTAGGATAGTTAGTCCCTAAGGTTTAGATATTCTTAGGTCAGTATAATCATAAGGATAAGGTCAGCTATCAAGTTTTCCTTGAGAATATCCAATAAGATTTATGGTAACACTTCATTCAGGCTCACTACACCAACAAAGTTTTTCCTGTCACTGCCTTGCAGAACAGGAAGCTAGCATTTAGTTATAATCAATGTTATTTGGTGTAATGAGAGTCTACTTGTTTGAAAATGCTATTATACATTAACATGTCGAAATGCTTCTGTTCACTGCTTAGTAGTGAGGAACGTTGTGATAGTAAACCAGGACGGAAGTATGAATTTCAGCACCATAACTGATGCTGTTGCTGCTGCTCCAAACGATTCCATGTCCACTTCAGGCTATTTTCTAAAATACATTACTGCTGGTATATACGAGGAGTATGTCTCCATCGCCAAGACTACCTTGTGCACACCTCGACAGTTCTAACTATCACTTCGGAGTATCTTTTTCATGCTAAAAGATAAAAATGCATTCGCATGCCACGACCATATGTTTAGCTATTAAGGACTCCATATATATTTGCATTTTAACCTTTTCCAGAAAGCCTTCTCCTCTTAATTGTACCTAAAGTTTATGCAGTATATTGTACCAAATTTTATATATATATATATATATATATATATATATATATATATATATATATATTATATANCAGATGCGGAAACACCTGCTGCAACCAAAAACCTGCAATTTTCCAACTTCAAATTCCTTCTGTTAGCCACCCGAAATCAACCCGAGGCCCCCGGGACCTCAACCAAGGTTACCAACACATCTTAAAACATTATTCAAACTTGTTCCAATCCTCAAAACTCGTCAAACAACGCTAAAACCATTAAATCACATCGAATTCAAGCCTAAGTTTCTTCAAAACTTCCGCAATACGCATTCGATCAAAAACCCGACCAAAACATCTCCGAATGAACTGAAATTTTGCGCACACATCCAAAATCACCTAACGGAGCTACTGCAACTCTCGGAATCCCATTCCGACCCTCGGATAAAAATCTCACCTACCAACCGGAATTTGCCAAAAATACTAACTTCGCCAATTCAAGCCTAATTCTACACCGGACCTCTAAAACCAATTCCGATCACGCTCCTAAGTCACAAATCATCCCCTGAAGCTAATCGAATCTCCGGAAATCACATCCGAGCCCTCTAACTAACCAGTCAACTTCCGGTTGACTTTTCCAAAACAAGCTTTCCTTAAAGAGACTAAATGTCTCATTTCCTACCAAAACCAAACCAGTCCAACTCGATTACCTCAAATACCGATAATGAAGCATAGAGAAACATAATATGGGGAAAATGGGGCGGTAACTCACGTGACGACGGGCAGGGTCGTCACATATGAATTTCAGCACCATAACTGATGTTGTTGCTGCTGCTCCAAACGATTCCATGTCCACTTCAGGCTATTTTCTAAAATACATTACTGCTGGTATATACGAGGAGTATGTCTCCATCGCAAAGACTACCTTGTGCACACCTCGACAGTTCTAACTATCACTTCAGAGTATTATTTTCATGCTAAAAGATAAAAATGCATTCACATGCCACGACATATGTTTAGCTATTAAGGACTCCATATATATTTGCATTTTAACCTTTTCCAGAAAGCCTTCTTCTCTGAATTGTACCTAAAGTTTATGGAGTATGTTGTACCAAATTTTATATATATATATATATATATAATGATTTAAAGGGAGATCAGGAAGGAGGTGGGGTATATTGTTACTAACTTGGTCAGCAGACAAAATCAGAGGTCATTCAGTTGAAACAGGCGATGTTGTTGTAAGCGGGACATGTGATTGTTGAGCAACAAAGTACTCTCTCATTTTCCTCATTTCTTTCATCTCATCTTCTAAGGTAGACAAGCGCTCATTCAAGGATTTTTTTTGCTCATTCAAAGATTTATTTTCTTCTCGAGTTGAACGTAGCTCGGACAGTAATTCAGCCTTTGAAGAAGTTCCACCTTTCAAGTCTTTCGCCTTCACTCCACCCCCAAAGCCAAACACATGGCTACGAGTTTGAGGTCCACAATATTTTTCTACAATCTCTATGCTAGGTAGAGATGGATCTGCTTGAACTATTTCTTCAATTTGAGCCTACAAAATATATATAAAAAACATTTAAAATCAGAATCCACCATAACTTCAAGTAATTTACATATTAAATTTTCCAAACATACATGTTTTTCAATTGCTTCAGGTTCAACAAGCTTGTTATATTTCATACGGGTCTCAAAGAAAATTGTTGCCAAATCCGGTGGGTTGCCATCTTTTCCGCCCTTTACACCATCAAAGGCAAACATGTCAAAGAATAGCTCGTAAATATTTTCTTAGGAAAATAGAAATTTTATGATAATACCTTTTGATAAATGATCTCACGAATAGGCTTACTATCAATATGATGAAACATCTTCAACTTAGCTCGATTTTCCGCATTCCTGTTGCTTCTCGCCTATATTTGTGAAACATTATGATTAAATGTAAGAAATTTAATAAACTTAAACATAAGTTGCTTCTAAACAGCTTAAACTCAAACTTAGCCTCCAAGAAGGGTGAAGTAACTTGTTGCTTTAGTTTCAGCCTATTTGGTTAAACTTATATGTATTTCATCCAATATATCATGGCATTGGAAAACTGAGAAAACTGCCTTCTGTTGTTTTGATGAGAAAACATAGCCTCTAAAATTTTGATGTACACAAATTTTCTGTACAAAGACAAGCTGAGAAAACTGCCTTCTGTTGTTTCTTCCTGTTATTTGATACTGATTTTAGAGAAGATTCATTTAGGGGCCTGTTTGTCTTTCTTTTGTTGCTCAATTGTGTCTCATTTAGTTATTTTCGTAATTTTCCATTGAGAACCTCTAATTAGTTGATTGGTTTTCACTTACCTGATTCAACTGTATGTCTTTGCTCATTTCAAGGTCCAATGTTAAGATGACTCACCGCAGCATGAGCGGGAGTATCAAGCTATGAACTTATCATCATAGGTAGCTAAGTTGAACTTTTTTAGTGCCATCGGTTCTGGTTACATTCGCTTGTCTTATCTGCTCATTTATGTTTTGTTTGGGAGGTAAGAAGCAAAGAAAAATGAAGGGAAAAGAAGAATTCTTTTCCCTAGACCAAAGCCTGTGTTGGGGTTGCGATGGTTCCAGAAAACTACTAGTACTATCTTAGGAGTTTCCTTATTCTTTGTCATAAAAGACTGGCAATCTTAATGCCTGAGCATCTATCTTATGGATCCGGGATCATGTATTCTAGTATTTTAAGCCTCGTGTCATCTCTATTACACGCACAGTCTGCTAGACATGTTAGTTACGCGCCAAGATTTACTGATGTGTTCACTAAGGCACAAGTATAAAATGGAGAGGTGCTGCTTAATAATGATTGTTTTGCTGTATTCTGTGTAGAGCTCTGTAATCGGGTCTGTTAGTAATTTAAATTGAATCGTGACCTTGAATTTAGTTTGCTTACATTTTTGTTGTCAGATTATATTTGTTCAATTTCATCACAACACAAATTCCTTTATGTGAATGCAAATATGGAACAGGATGGATATAGTCAGATGTTCGAATTCATTCTGTTTTAGTTTCATAGTTCGAATTTATTCTGTTGATCTAACTTTTCCATTTCCCCTGTTATGGTGCATGATTCGTGATTCTTAAACTGAAACTACACATTGAAACACATAATTCGATAACTCAAATAGATTATTAAATCACTAGGCATACCTGAAAACCTTCTGAAGAAAAATATTCCTTTACTAACCACTCCCATTCTTTCTTGTCTACTCCGTTTGGAATATTCTTAAGAGCCTGTTGGATTGGCTTATCTTTCACATATTTTGGATGCAAGTGTCCTCTCCATTTGTTCCATAACTCTTTCATCCATGCGAAGATATGATCACGATGATCATTCATGTCAACACTCTCAAATTTATCCTACAATAATCAAAACATGGGTTGAGTTAATGAATTAGTTCAGTTTTAGTAACTACTCATAATCATGTGATAGGAGCAACTTTCCAACAGTTATACAGCAATTAACATATAATTTAGTTTCAACTGTTTCTCTACAGCAAGTAACAGTTGAATCAGTAACATTCTCCAAAAATTATACAGATAAGCACAAGCATGAAGGATGAGAGCATGATATGGGATATTGTACTATTGCAGCCCCTCATTATCTCCCTAATTTCCTCCACATGTGCAGCTACTGGCAGAGGTGAATTCCATGTACCTTCAGCTATAGTCACCTCACTCACTCAATCGTATAGTGGTAACTCAGACATTATTGAGAGTCTGGTGTTATTGAGAGTAAAGGGTAGGGGAGTGGAACCTAGTGTTATTGAAAGTAAAGGGTCAATCAGAAGGACTAAAGACAAAAATTTAAGGCGCGTGTTGTTGGCATTAGGCCATATTCCAGCTACCAACTTTTCTACCTCTGAATGGTGGGCGTGGATAGAAATAGAAAGGAATACATTTGACTAAATTCCCCTATTGAAAATTAGAGAACCATTTGATAAACTCTAGTTCAGGGTTACACAACTCTCTGCTTAATGGAGCCTAGTATTTTTTCACTTGAGGACAATTCGAAATTCTGAAAACGAACAATACTATAGTTTAGTAGGCCTTTCATGGACTTAACTGGTAAGGAAACAAGTTTACTCAGAAGAAATCAATCTCAAAATAATTATCAGCAACGCCTGGGACCTTTGTTGCTGGTGCACTGGGGATATCATGTAGTACATCAGGAGGACTAGCACATCGGATAAGTGCCCAATTCACCTCACTAATCAGCAGCATATTAGCAGTTCATCCCTATTTATGAAAATATAGAAATATGCAATTTGTGATTCAAATAATCGATATTGCACCATGGACATGATGAAAGTTCATGCTCTAAACATCATGGACATGATGAAAGTTCATGTCGATCGATACAAGGAAGAAACAGAGAAGTCAATGAAAAAAATACAGTGCACGTTGATATGAATGGTGTGGAGCTGGGTAATGTCGAGCAGTTAAAAGGTGATGCTAGGGAGTTGTTGAATGCCAAAAGAGCTGCAAATAAAATTCAAGAAACTGCAAATATTAAGGTGCAGCCAGTTATGAAACTAACAGGTTATATCAGAGATCGAGGAGGTGATATTGATTCAAATAGTGAGGCTAATGTAGTTTCTGTTGATCGAGCATTAGCCAAAATTAACACAGCTTTGGAGCCACATGTGGTGAAGGTTAATAACATTGACAAGGTTAGTGGTGAGAAGGAGGAGGAAATAGTTGGGCAGGTGATTAATAATCCAGGTAGAGCTGGTATTTTTTCATCAAAAATAGGTGAGGAAATAGCTGGGCAGGTGGTTAATAATCTAGGTGAACAAGCTGATATTGCAGCAGGTTACAAAGCTAATGTTGCGAATGATAAGGGGCATGAACATGTATGTTTTGAGGCTTTGGAGTATGCAGCTGCTACAACTTCTAAGGCTGAGAATATGAAAAATTCTAATGGAGGTTTGCAAGCTAATTAGAGTTTTGAAACATACTGCTGCTACAGTTCCTATGAATCAAGCTATAACCAAGATTACAGGTGATATTTCTTCTGTTGTAGAGAGAGGTACACAGGCTGTGGAGTCGACTTTACACGCCACTGCTATGGTGGATGCAATTGGTATTAACAATTTGGTGCAACAAGAAGTCAGCACAGTTGGTAATAATCATGCATTAATAAGGGATGTTGCTACAGAAGTTGTAGGTAATGCACCAGCTGTTGTGAAAGCTAAATTACCAGCTGATGCTTCGGGCAAATCTATTATAGAAAAAGTTCTTGTGACTGTTGGTGTTCCTACAGGTCCTGTTGCTGGACAAAACTCTAAGGAAGTTGGGCATCAAAAAAAAGTAATTGATTGTTCCATTGCTGGTCCACAAACAGCCCTGTTGAACCCTGCAGTAGCTGATCTAGGCGAAAAATCAACAACTGATATAACTACTGCGGTACAAGATGTAGGGTTGGAAAAAAGAGCTGGACAAGTGCTTGATCCAGGGCAATCTGGTGCAAATCCAGCTGAAGAAACTGTTGTTGTGAATGCAAATTTGGAGACTACTAATGTGGTGAATGCAACTGGTGTGATCAAGGAGATAAGGGCAGAAGACTGGACAAATATGTCCAGTAAAAAAGGCACTCCAAAAAATAGCAAAATGCAGCAGGATGGCTCAAGAGACAGTACATGTGCACGAAGTAGTACAAATCTGTTTGCTACTCTTGCTAATGTGAATGACGAGGACGGGATGGCTGCTGTTCGTGTACCTATGTCCACTCCCTCCAAGCTGCATTTTTCCAATCCTCATGTCGAAAAAATTATCAAGGACGCCCAGAATGCAATGGTGTTTAATAACACTATGGTGAAGCAACCATTGGTCACGTTGAACACCTCCGTGTTTGAAGTACCATCACAGTCTTTGGAGTCTTTTGGTGAATATGGAGGTGAGTTGATGTAGTCATCCGGAAATAACAATGAAGTTATAAAGGCAAATTTGAGGGGGATGGCAATCGATTCTAAGCTATGGTCAGACCAACGCGAGTATGATGATGAGAAAGATTATGGTAATGCGTATGTTGGAAATTCGAGTGAGGATGATGCTCAAGAGAGTGAAGATGAAGGCTTACTCTCAGTTGGTTCACCATCTTTACCAAAAATAGGCAGTCCTGCAATGGCAATTTCCAGCAGCAAACTAAACGCAAAAGCACCAGTTTTTGTGCCTAAAACTGGACAGC